AGGAGGAGTGAGAAAAGGAGAAGGAGCAGAGGATGCCAGGGGCCAGCCACACAGACACACAGTCACACAGCCAGCCACAGAGTAAGAAGGAAAGAAAGATATTTAGCATAAAGAAAGGTTAAAAAGTCCAGAGGCAAAATATAGTTAAAGAGAAACAGAATAATTTAAGTTAGAGAAGCTGGCTAGAAACAAGCCAAGCTAAGGCCAGGCATTCATAAGTAAGATAAGTCTCTGTGTATTTATTTGGGAGCTGGGTGGTGGGCCCCCAAAGAGTAAAAAAATCAACTACACCCACAGTTTGACATGTCCAAATGGTACTTATTTTTTGAGACACAATTGAAACACCTTGTCCTTGTTCCTTCTTTTGGAAATAATATTTCTATTTTGATCTTAACTTTTGAATGTGGACTCTGTAGAGTCCTAATAGGTAGGGTTAAATGAAGGTAATAATTATAAAGGGCTCATGTTCTACACACCAAACTCAAAGTTTTCCTTCAAAGCATTTTAAGGTGCTGAGTATGGTCACACATCCCCACATGAAGGCAGGAGGATCTTGAATTCAAGGCCAGTTTAGACTACATGGCCTGATCCCCAAGACCCTGCTCATCATAACTGAAGAGAGAGAGAGAGAGAGAGAGAGAGAGAGACAGAGACAGAGACAGAGACAGAGACAGAGACACAGAGACACAGACAGAGACACAGAGACACAGACAGAGACAGACAGAGAGACAGAGACAGAGAGACAGAGAGAACAAAAGAATGGAGGCTATTCTAATCCATGTCTACCACCCTCTCCCATCAAAACTTTGCACAATGGCAGTGAATATTACTGACTGAGAGACTACAAATTATTGAATGAAAACTGGGAGGAAGATGGCTTGCTAAACTGGGAGTGAGAATCTAGGCTCTTTCAAGTAGTAAAACGTGAGTTGAACCCTTTGTTACACTTAAAAAAACTGAAGTTAATGAACATAAAGGATTGAAACATGTAAGAAAAGGCAGCTGCTGGAATAATAAAACACTAGAAGAAATGTATTCACTTATAATTACAATATAATGTATAGACTTATCCAAATACTCATCTAAGCATTATCCCAAAAATTTATTACTTTGCATATAATCAAAATTTATCCCAATTAGCATGCTTATTTCACTTAGTATTATTCTACATTTCTTTCTATTCATTGCTATTGCTGTTGTAATGAATGTTTTTGTGGCCACATAAATTTCACTGTGTTCCCATACCAGAAATATCTTGCTTTTTCACTGTTTAGTTAAAACTAATAAATAGCATCCTGCTTCTAGTATTTATTATATAGCTGTTTCCAGTGGGCATATTTCCAAGAATGGGTTTATTAAATGAAAACCTAATAACATTGTAATTTGCTTTATTCTGTCAAACTGTTTTTTTAAAATATGTTATTCCTAAAGGAATTTTCCTTGCCAACTGACAAATGGGTATTGTTAATATATTATTAATGTAAATAGGAAAATAATACTTAAATCTTATTTTAATCTGTATTTTATGGTTTAGCAATGCTCATTCCTTTGGTTTTTTGCAACAATATTATTTTGCTATATTATTTGCCTCTGTAGTTTTCCTACATATGCTTTTTTTCATAAATATTGTTTGACTTCTCTAACATCTTTTAAAAATTCATTTTATTTTCCCCTTAGAAACAACCACCAAACTTGAGTTTAAAACAAGCACATCGGATCAGATATGACTACAAGTGAGGTTGGGGTGCCCTGTGGCCTCCTCCTTCCTTTGTCCCTTGATCCATCTTTAAAGTGTCCCCATGTTGTTTACAATCTTCTGCTGCTTTCCTCTGTGTCTCATTCTGTAAGTTTGTCTCCAGATTACTTAGGTAGTGTTCCCCACACTGAAGTACTATTCCTGGACTGTAAGATGCCTTAACATGTAATATGGACAAACTCTTCAGGAAACCTTTAACATTTCTACTTTAATATCTATTAACAACCCATTTTGTATTTGCACCAAACTTCCACTGGTTTTCTACTTATATGAGGAATGTAGATAGACTTGTGTCATTGAAACACATTCAGAAAATGGCATGGTTAGGTAATTATGGGAACATCTTAGAGTGCACTAGAGTAAACTTAAACAGCAGAGTTCAATCTATGGACATTGGGCCCCTTGACCCAATCAAGATAGGACATAAATATGAGATAAATGTCCGTGTAGCGTTACAGATTGTTACAGTAAGATTTTAATGGGTAATGTGTTGTGCTGTGATGTCACAATGGAAGAGAAATAAAGCCATAAGACACTTTCAGTTCCATCATACTCTTATGGGCTTACAGTCCCTTGTTGATCAAAATGTCTTTATTAGACATGGGCACCATTTTTAAAAACTGGGCTTTTCTCCTCATGAAAAAGAAGCTCAGGTTCCAGGCAGAACCGGAGAAGCTGTCAACTAAGGTCCCCTTGTCTTCCTTCTTTATGATCCTTAGCACCCAGTTCTCACGTTATGTTCCCATTTGCTGACTTGAGTCATACCACATTGAAGCTAGCAGTGAGAAGGGCAGGTAGCAAGGTCATGAGAGCCGATGAATGAGTTTTGGGAAGGCTGTGATCTTGTGTTTGGATGTGCTGAGTTTGCGGTGATGCTGAGCTGCAGACGAGTCCCTTATGCAGAATGGATGCCCTTTTCCGGGAGGTACAATGGTGAAGACCTTCTGCATGTGCTTTAATAGCCGACTTGAGGCTAATGATATGAATGAAAATGCTCAGAAAGTTAGTGCAGAATGGAGAGCGAAAGAAGCAAGCCTGGCACCCAGCCTTAGAGGAACATTTGTACTACATGGTTGTGAAGCAACAATGAAGACTTTAAAGGACAGCAATGGAGTAGCCAGAAATTCAGAGTAAATAAGCAAAATAGAGGAATATCGTGAAACAAATGTCAAGAGAAGGAAGTGTTTGGAAAAATCAAGCTGGCTTGAGCCAAAGAAGCCTGAAGTGAAAAACACCCATTTTATTTATCAACCTTGAGCTAAATGATGATCCTTATAGTATCATTCCATAGAGGCTCGAAAGCTTCTGTGGGTTGATGAGTGCGTGCGAAATGAGGAAATAAAAACCACAGAATAGATTGTGGTTGCTCCTGGGGAGGAATGATATGGGTAGGTATCACATTTGAGGCCTTGAGGGAATTGGTTTGGATTCTTTTTTTTTTTTTTAAAGTGGGAGAGAGTGAGCCGATCTAAAAGCTGGGGTGAATAATTCATTGGACAGTAGGAACAGAGAGGGAAAAGGAGAGTTAAGAAGCAACTCTGGAGGCCCTAAAGATGGGTTTTGGAAACCTGGTGAGGCAAAGTCATTAAAGTGGCGGGTGGGGTGTGTAAGAAGGGCACAGTGAGGGAGGGGTGCGTCACAGACATGCTCTAAGGCTTCCAATGGCAGCTTATGGGGTCCATCTCACACCGCATTGCTTTATAAGGGACAGAAGTTGACTCACTGTTGATCTGATTATTACACACACACACACACACACACACACACACACACACACACACACACACACACACACACACACACATTTAAAATGAAATGCCAGGAAGGTAGACATTACTCACTGTCTTATCAGAACCTGGCTATTGGGATCATTCACTTTGATGACTTTTAGTTTTTCAGTGGGACAGAGGCTTGTGTGGAATGGCCCTCCTTTCCCTCTCATTTATTAGCTTTTACATCTCAACATTCTCCAACTGTCAGATCATCTCTGCCAATTTTAATTCTCTCTGCCGTTACTCTTCAAAAACCTGACACCTCTTAGTTATCTGCCAACCTGGCTTTTTATCCCTGCCTAGCTTCCTGTGTCTTGAACGTCTTGATAATAAATTCTCTCAGACCCTGGGCTTGAACTTGTAAAGTCTTAGTAGAATTATTCCTGTCTGGCTCCTCAAATTATTCGCCATTGAGATTTAAACACACACACACACACACACACACACACACACACACACACACACACACACGATAGGCAATTCTATGATGTTACTCCCTAACCAAGAATTCTTTTTCAGACAGCTTTCCCCTATATTCCATGCAGTGGAATGTCAACAGGGAATGCAATAGAGAGAATTCGCCCTCTGGAGGTGTGATTTAAATGCCACCCTGTGATCTTCCACAAGTCACTGAGCCTTGGTGCCTTGTGGATTGAAAAGAAGCCCTATGGTTTCTTGTGGCTGTTAGTGCCATACCCGGATGCTCATTAGTTATGCTCGCACCCTTGACCCTATCCCTGTTATTTTCTTAAAGCGCCTTTAACTTTTTCACCCACCCTGTGAATCTCTAAATTAACATATTTTAAGCGTGGCTTCCCTTAGCTAGTCCAATACAGCAGAAATTGTGTTAGAATCACTGCGGAACTCTCCTTGTCTCTCTCCACCGGTGGTTGTAAGAATTCAGGCAGGGGGATCAGGATCTGTCCCTAGTCAATGGGCAGGCTTCTGGAGCCTGGTGCCTGTGGTGTGACACCTTGCACAGCCTTGGTGCAGTGGGAAGGGGCTTGGACCTGCCTAGGCTCAGTGTGCTGGGCTCTGCTGACTCCCCATGGGAGACCTCTATTTGGGGGATGTAGGGATGTGGGGTGGCTTGGGAAAGAGGGCTTGGGGGGTGGGAGGAGGAAGGAGGGGGGATCTGTGGATAGTATGTGGAGTGAGTAGAAAATTTCTTAATAAAGAAAAATGAAAGAAAAAAAAGAAGAATTCACACTACTAGAATCCCAAGGATTTACAGAGCATCACCTATTTCGGACGACTGGATGTGTGGGTTGTTTTAATTTGTACTCTAAAATGGAATTCTTATTGTTATGAGAATTGACAAAAATTAACGAATGCTTGAAATGTACCACGACCACTCAGGCGTACTTACACACGGCTACCCATGTAGTTCTTAAAGTATTAAGACCATCACAATTTCTATTTTGCAACAGAAGGAAACAGACACCTAGTGGTTTAAACGATCGCCCAGGCTTTTGAGCCACCAATGACCCAGGAGGTGGTAATCAGAGCGGCTTCCCTTCCTTTGCAGCTCAGGGATTCTGAATTTACAAGCTCCCCAGAGCCTGTTGGCAGGCTGTGATCAGCTCTGTCGGTAACCAGCAGTTTGCTGGTGCTGCCCGAAAGTGATGTCCTGAACAAGAGCGGAGAGTGCAGAGCTCGCCACCGGGCAGCAGCGTGCCCTGGGGACCCAGAGGAGGAGCTAGCCCTTTACCCCTCGGCCAGGGAGAGAGAGCAAGGGAGCTGGCGACCCAGATAGAACCTGTTGCTCAGGCCGGGCTTGGCTTCTGCTTTCAACGCGGCTGGGACTCTTGGCCACCAGCAGGTGAGAGTGATGGGAAATGGCTTGGGCTCTCAGCATGGTGGGAGACCCTTTCTCAGGGGCACCACTGGCTTCAGTGACACTTGGTAGCTTGGATTCTGAGGTTTTTTACTCTTGACTTTTCCCCAGAGGCTTTCCGCTCCCTGGGCTCTCAGGGTATTGATTGTCCCTGGAGCTTTGTTCTGGTCCCAGGCTGAAGTTTGCCCTAGGGTCTTCCCAGCGCTGCCCCGCCCAGTGGGCGGCTGCGCTCTTTGGCTCACAGACAAGGGACCTGGCTGCGATGGCGGTGCTTTCTCACCCTCAAAGTACCCCGACCCCTCTCCGGGTGAACACTGGTAAACTTAGTTGAACCTCCTTAGGAAGGTAAGTGGATCGTTAGCGAGAGTTTCCTACACGGTTCGCTTGCTTCATCCGCATGATTCTTAGAAACGGCATTTGTGGACCAGACTTGGTCTTGCGCATCAGGTTTTGCCAGGGAGACTAAAATGTGGCTAGGACAACACCCAGCTCTCAAGGCGCTGAAGACGGGGGTTTCTTTTGTGTCAGACAAGCAGGCAGTGCTAGTGCAGCTCTGGGACACTGAGGTGCTGATATCTGAGAAGCAGAAAAGTGCTGTGCTGTAACTAGAATTACATACAAACCAAGGAACAAAAATGCATTTACTTCCCATTTTCCTTCAGCCAGGTTGGCGATAACTTTCAACATTTAAACAATATTAATTAACTAAATATAATTTATATAATGAAAGGATTTAATTTTAATCAACATATTCCAATTTATTGGAACCAGGTATCCAAATTCTCTTTCCATCCCATGTCTAAATCATTTTCATAAGAGGAGAAAAGATGGACAAGCCAATGTGTTGGAAGCAATGAAGGATATATTTCTGTTGTCGGCTGGGATCCCAATTAAAAATAGGTTGGTAAAATTAGTGACATCGGAAGTCACCGCTGAATTTGCAACATTTCAATAGAATGTTCACGGATAGTATTGATCAATAGCAAGTATGGATCAACAGGAAAGCTGTGCCAACAGCGTGGCAGACTTCAAATTTTCCTCTTAAGATGCCTGCTTTAATTAAATATCGACATCGCTGCTCAGTAAAAATTAGATATGATTAATCTGAAATGTGTCTTAGTTATTGTTTAACAATGAGTTGCAGGATTCTTGTTATCTTTTGCTTCTTGTCATTTTCCTTCAAATCTATATCATTTAATCCTATAGTTCTACAATATCCCCCCCCCACCTTAAGGCAATAGGCAACTTTAGGAATATTGAAAGTTCCTATTACTTTTCCTTCATGTATTTTTCTCTATGAGTTTTTTTGCATGTTGCAAATGTACTGTGAAGAATTTACAAGTGTGTATAATAGAAATCGCTTTTTATGATCCTTTTGGTTCAAAGTTTTATTTACCGCGGTTCATCTGTACTAACTTCCAGAGGTGTCAAAACTGTAGACTATACAGGTACAAATTGACTATAAGCCAGTAAATGGTTTGTGCCTGGAAGACTCTGCATTTGCTGCAGCTGTTATTGCACTTGTGTTCTGGGGTGTGGTGTGTCTGTGTGTGTAGGGCAAACTTGCAGGTGTATCTGTACTGTGTTAGGGATTTCCAGCTATATTTCAGACCAGGTAAGAACTTTGTTCCTCAAAGCTAAGTAAACCAGCAAGGATACATTTTGTAGTACATCCCTTTAATATGAGGTGGAATTGATGTTGGATGAACACTGTCATGCACGTTTGAAAATATCACATCGGATTTCACATTCTTTACCCTTGTATATAGTATGATAGTGATCTTGACTATTCTCTGGAGAATTCCATGCTTAGAATTAACAGCTGATTTCTTTTTTCTCTGGTTGGATGAGTTGCAGTGTTTGCCACAGCAGATAGACTTCCATACCCTTCACATGCCTTCTACAGTCTCAAGGTAGAAACAAGCTCTCATTTCAGTCAAATACACCACCCCCACAGCCCCACCCTGTTGGCTTTCTGCCCTAAGCAAATCATTTGCTGTCTCTAACGCTGTTTAAACATAAAAGGATGTTAGAATTGCACCAGTACAACCCTTTCAGTCTTTAGAAATCCCTGGTTTCTCATTGGAGAAAATCAGAGAATCCAGAATGAGAAGGTTACCTTGACCTTGCCTTGCCACTAAAGAGTAAATGTCCTTAGCTGAGACCCTGAAATTCATTAGTTTTTCTATAGAATGACTTGTTGGAAAGAGATGTAGTTTCTATATAGAATGGGGATCTATTTGGCTAGTTGGATGCAGCCTCTGGTACAAACAAGATGACTTAAGGTCTTTTCTCAAGAGACAATCTCTGAGAAGTCTGAAGAGATCTCAGGCTGTGGCAAAAGAGGCGTCCCTGCATGTACAGATGACTCGTGACCAGGACAGTCACTAGCTAGTACAGTAAGCACTGGGCCCCAGAGAGGAGCAAGCCAGAGCCTCACTGTGTTTTGAGTGCATATCTGTTACCTTATTCAGAAGTTCCCTCCCTGCCTCCCACAAATGGAAAGCAAAAATTAAACTGATTTCACTGACACACAAGATTGAGAAAACATGTCTTAGTCAGGTTCCCATACCTAGTTCAGCTTCTGTTCCCACTAAGCAAACCAGATAGGATCAATCATGGCCCTGAGGAATAACAACACAACCCAAACCACACACATCAGCAAATGAAGGAAAAATAGTGCAAAGGGAAGTGCTCTTCAACAGTCTGTGTGTGTGTGTGTGTGTGTGTGTGTGTGTGTGTGTGTGTGTGTGTGGTTTCCTTTAAGTAATAGTTGCCACTGAAAATTTTAATTTCTAGATATTACGAAGGCAATTTCTTACTTATTTTCTCTGGCTACAGAAGGGGCCTCATGTGGGCATCTGCTTTGTGTCTGGGTGGCTCCCCGGCATCTCTGGACTAAAGAACTTTCCATTTGAACCAATGCTCCTTTCTCTCATGCACTCTGCAGAGATTTTTATTTACCAAACACATCCATATGTTACAGCTGTTTGTCATCTCTCGAGGGTCAGAAAATACCAGCATTTGCCCAAACTCCAATGAAGCAGTAATAGTCAACTATAGTGAATAACCCTGTGTGTATGATTTCATTTCAGCCTTGTGATTTTACAGATTGTATATAAACCACTTTCCTTCTTTGACAAAGAAACTAAGATTTCAAAGTAGATTTCCTAAACTTAATATGTTTCCTAGGTAAAAGGACCAGGATAATGAAGTCATATATTCTTCCAGCCACATTTAAATTTTACGATGCAGAGCTTACAGCATTTATAGATTATAATCCAAGTACTGATTTCTGTATGTGTCTGACAGGCATTTCCAAGTGAAAACTGTATGGCTAAAAAGAACTTACATTCCCTAATCATACTCTTATTAAGAGAAGAAAGAACACCAGAGTCTTTTGTGTTCCCTTTGCAAACACTCACCCTGGTTCAGACAAGGATGGAGTGGGCTGGAAGTTGGGACTGAGTAGATGTACTTTCATGAGTTTTCTACAATGAAAACTTACTGTTCCGGTTCACAATGTTGGTTTGTAGCCATTCACAGACGACTCCTAAATGTTGTCTGATGTTTATATTTTGTGGGAAGTTTTGGATGTGAATTAGCCAAGTACAACAGGCTTAATGAACCAAAGTGATATCCAGTTTAATCACAGTTTTGGTTGATTGTAGAAAGTCCTGTGCCAGCTGATCATGCTCTAATAACTAGGTTAGCTATAATCAATTAGGTGGTTGATTGACTAGGCTGTAGCCAATGAGGTTGTTTTCTGTGTGCCCCTCACTTGTATTTTCTTGCAAATAGGGTCTGGTGCCTTGGCTGGAATTCTCTCACTGGCTCTTGTTCTAGGAGGAATTGTTTTGTTTTGCTCAAATAAGCTCTACAAATTTAATTGGTTTAAGAAATTTTCCTTCTAAAACAAAAAGAAATCTCCCTTCTAATACTGGGCAAGGGGGATATTCATTTAGAGGAAAGCTAAAAGTGGGATGAACATTTCTGTAATTTAGCCCCACCAGAAAGCCAGTAAAATCTAATAGTTGTCTGTATTAGAGAGTTTACCCCCTAAGAACCAAAAACTCAATGAGGACAACTTTCAAATTAAGAGTTCGCTGATGACCTCATGATTCTTGTGTCTTGGGGAAACCAGAGGGACTCTTAATAGATTATTTATACTTTCATAGACTGCTCTCAATCACCTTGTTAAATGTGGACAAGCAAACAGATGCCTGCAACACTCAGATTTCCTCTGAAATTTTCCACTTTCCCTTAAGGTAGAGTTTTTTTTTTTTTTAATTGAAATTTTGACCTCATTTAAAGTTTCTCTAACTTTTCGTTTCTATCTTAGTTCTGTGAGTTAGTGCACATGGGTGTTGCTTAAGTCTAACGGCTCCCTCAGGGGAGGGGGTTAGAAGACACTGGAAGTCAGTTGAAGGCAAACAACAAACTCATTTATTCAATAACAGGGAAGGCCTTATATACCCTCCTCCTAGCACCAAGTCTGTGTCCCAATCTAGTGGCATTGCTGCATGGTCATCGCTCATTGGCTGGGCACGATCAGGAACTCTGACAGTGCCTATTGCTAGGCCCTCAGGCAGATTTCAGATTGGCTCATAAGGAAGTATGTTATGTGCATGCCTTGGCAAGTGGTTTAAGCCAATTCCTCGATCCTATGGTGTGGTGATATATTGTGTACCCTAATAAACTTGCATGAGGATCAGAGGAGAGAGCCATAGGATAGAAAGTGAATTAGATACAACATTTTGTACTCACCAAAATAGGATAAATAATGGAGTATTTTCTCTGAATCTATCAAATGTTAATTGACTGGACATTGTTAATGTAATTCTTGACTGTATGCATTGTATATTCTTATTGTACTTATTGTATATAATTTTTCTTTTATTAGTTATAACCTTCTTTTATTCTTTTAGACAAAACAGGGAAATGTAATGATATATTGTGTACCCTAATAAACTTGCATGAGGATC